CTAAAAAGTAAAGGATCACTCTTTAACATACATACATACATACATACATACATACATACATACATACATACATACATACATACATATATATATGTATATAGTAATAAACCGAAACCTTCTCAAGCCATTTTCCCCAAACCCTATTTGTTCTACTCTCTATCTCATTTTCTTGTTTAACTTGGCCCCCAAAAGAAAACTCCTAGCTCTGCCATTGTTTATCGGTCACAAAATCCCAATAGTATATTTCAATTCTTGTACTCTTCCATTTCTGACATTAGAAAGGAATTCTCTCTTTGCAAGGAATAAGCTTCCCACATTGAATACTTCATCCCACCCTGCTTCTATATTTATAATCGATAAATGGGGTGTTCATGGGTCGGTTTGAGTCATTTTCTTCAATCGACCCGCCTAGTTAGTTTACTTATTGACTAAACCGAAACCAACCGAACCTGAAGCAAAACTGACTCAAACATGAAGGGTTGATTTATCGGTTTAGTCGCTTTATATAACAATTGTTTTAAACAGTCCAATGTAAACACCCTTGGTTGGTTCGGCTCCAAGACTCGAACAGGCAACATGCAAAGGTTGAAGACTCCAACTCCAAGTAAGTATCCAATAGTCATTTATAGTATTTATTTAACACCTCTTTCCAAAACTAAAAAAAAACAATGGTTGCTAAACCCAAAAACATAATAAATAAACTAATAAAGGTAATAAATAACTTAAATTTTAATTTAAGTTAACTGTAATAGGGAGTAGGGAAGGACTAAGGCCTACCGAGTAGGGACTAATTAGTAATTACCTAAACATACTGAGTTGCTGGTTTATTTTCTCACACAAATCGAAACCAACCAGTGGTTTTAAAAAACCGACAAACTCGGATTGGGTCAGGCCGGTTTGGTCAGTTTGACATTTAATGTGAACACCCCTAATGGATAGTTCGCAAAGCAAGAGTGTTTCTTCTGCTTCTAAGTCCCGGATGTCTTTGTTATCAGCCATAGGGGTCCGGAACCGGAATTGGAAGGCTATTCCAATTCCAACTGTTTGGTTGGGCGGAATTGGAATCCCATTCTTGTTCCTACTGGAATGACATTCCCCCATTTGAGGGAATGGCCATTCTTAGCCCCTCCCTTGGGAATAAAATCTCATTCCCATTCCTGTCTGAACTAAACAGACTATGGGAATAGACCATTCTAATTCCAATTCTGAAGGATTTGGATTCCGATTCTGACTGCAAACCAAAGAAAGAAGTGGGCATTGGTACCTCACCTCCACAACGAGCATGGTCATTGTCAAAAATGGAGTTAAGTCCCCTCCTCTTCTGTTAATTTTGAAGTGTAAAAACAAGAGAGAGAGAGAGAGAGAGAGAGAGGTGTGGAAAAACATTTTTGGAATGTCCATGTAAGTGTCTGTTTGGTTTGCAGTTGGAATTGGAGTCAAAATCGGAATGAAAATCTTTCGAAATCAGGATTGGAATGATCTATTCTCATATCTGTTTGGTTGAAACAGGAATGGAAATGATAATTGGAATAAGCAGAAATAGGATTTTATTCCTAAGAGAGGAGTAGGGAATGACCATTCCCTCAAATGGGGGATTGTCATTTCAAGAGAAATAAGAATGGAATTCTGATTCTGCCCAACCAAACAGTTGGAAAAGGAATAGCGCTAGCCCATTCCGATTCTGATTTCAAACCCCTATTCCCTCAAACCAAATGCGGCCTAAGTGGTGATGCACTCTCCATGGTATCCCATATATATCCTATTGATAGAATGTGATACCAAGTCTATAAGTTGGCAGATTCTCAGCCTTTTCAGTCCTTGACATATTTTACAGCTTTTGGTCTTGTCATCGTCTCCTACATTCAATATTATTGTCTCCTAAGCTCGCTGGAGATAGTCCCAAGAAAACTAAACTAGCAAAACCAAGAAGATTGATGTTCTTAGATTTCTGAAGTTGGATTCCGATGGAAACTTGATAATCTACGGCTATGTTAAGGGTTCTAGAACCTCTAGTTAAAGAAATAGTACAAATAAATGTTTTTTTTAGGAAAAAGACCGAATGAGTTTTGTTGAAATTAATTTACATGAAAGTGGCAGATAAAGAAAATTAAATAATACCTGATGGACATTTCTGTCATTTTACTTATCTACTAACGTAGATTAACAGATAGGGACCCATTAAACAGTTTTTGACTGATCAGTGATCAGGAATCCCCACCCACCCACCACCCCACACACACACAAAAAAAAAAAAAAGTTAAACAGTTAAGATGGTAAAGCCACAAAAGTCCAATACTCTGTCAAATTCGCATCAATGGACGTCATCTTGATTCCAGTAAACTATGTTGCCGTTTCATCTAAAAGTCAGATTTTCAGACTTCAAAAGAAGTGCAAAACGCGCAGATGAGGATATTCACCGAAAACAGAATTGCAAAACCCAGATCTAGCTTAAAAAAATTGTTATTTATAGTTACGTGGGCAGCAATAAGACCACTGATGTGAGCCGTGTCACAGAGTAAGAGCGCACCACTCTTGTAATCCTAATCTCTGGGATACACACTTCCACCGCTAATTATCAACTTGGATATTTCTTTTCATTTTTCTAAAGGTTTACCAGAAATGCCGATGTTTTAGCCTTCTGGTTGGAGAAGGGATGGAGACGTTTGACGTGGGTGGTGGCGGGCATGTTCTAAATCTTGACACTACTATCAAAGATGATATTTTGGGTGGTGATGGTGAGAAATTGGATAATCCAATTGGATAGAAAGTATACCAAACCATAGCCATAGCCGAGTTTAGAGGTGTAAAGTGGGCCGTTCGGCACGGCCGCAGGTGCCTCTTGCAAAGTGCGAGCTGTGCCATGCTGGCCCATATGCCATCACGCCCTTTTTGGAGAAAATTTTGGGGATCGGCCCAGCACGGCCCACGGCCCAGGCCCGTGTGGGCTCATGTCGTGCTGCGGGTTGGGCTGGCCCGTGGGCCAAGCTTTGGCCCAAGTTGGGTCATGGACCGGGCCAAAGCTATTTTTGCCTATTTATTTAAAAAAATTGAAAAAAAAACTTGAAATTTTAATTTTATATGAATTTTGATGTATATAATTATTTATATATGCGATAATTAAATAAATTAGTATAAAAAAATTGAAAAAAAATGTTTATTTTATTAATATATTATATAATTATAATTTATATAATATATTATATTATATATATTATATAAATATTATGTATATATATAAATAAAATATATATAGATCGTGCTGGCACGTGGGCCACGGGCGACATCGCCCGCTTGATCGTATCATGTCGTGCCGGCCCATGGACTTCAACCCCAGGCCCAGCATGGCACGGACCATCGTGCCGGGCCTAACACGGCCCATGGGCCATCGTGCCATGCCATGCCGGGCCAGTCCAAAATCGTGCTTATTTACACCTCTAACCGAGTCGTTCCTCATAAGAAAATTACCTGTCTTCAAGTGTCGCCATTGTAACGTCGCGGTTGCCCATGTTAGACTTCCAAACTAATCATTACGCAAGCACACCCAATTGAAGAAATCAATAACCAATTTATAATCGTTCTTGATTTTCATGGGGATCCAGAAGGTGTGATTAGTCCTGAATTTGTAATCTTTACGCAAGCACACCCAATCGAAGAATACAATGAGTTTTTGTTGTTCACTTTGATCCACAGTTGCTAACATTGTTTTCAAAACCGGACCGGATTGGACGGTTGGATTGGAAAAACCAGGAACTAGTCATCTGATTGGTTCTGTTTTCCTCCAAAACCGTTGATTTTAGTCAGCAAATTGCTGAACTGGCCGGTTAATCGTTCGAACGGTTCGAATGGTTTTGACCTTTTCCAATTTTTAAATTTTTTTTGTCAGAACGGGCTGGCCGTTCGGGTCGAACGATCGGACCATTCAAACCGGTAACAGACCCCTGACTGGTTCGGTCACCAGTTCGTTTTTAAAAACCATGGTTGCTAACCCAGAAGATTTTTTACACAGGACTTAAGAGACTGGATTGGAACTCGTTGTGCGAAATTCAAAGGCCGCATGCGAGTTAACAACGTTGTCGTTGCCACCTGCTTTCCAGATAGGGAAGTCGGAGTAGGAATTTGTAGCAACAACTGGTTCAGTCTTAATGTAGAAAATAATGAACAGTGTCTTCTTTTGAAAAATAGTTTGACATTTTTAAAAGTTGTAAGTGGCACATGTCATCATGTGATACAGATAACTGATGGACTGTGAATGGCAGGGACTAATTTGATAATTTCTGGAAGTTCAAGTAGTATGGTACATTTTGAAGTTTGGGGACTGACTTAAGACAATCCCTAAAGTACAGGATACTAATCAGGAATTTTCTCCTTTTTTTTTATTTGATCATTCATGTTCAGTAAATCAATGCATTTGAATGCCTCAATTGCAAAAATATAGCGATTTGTTGTTAGATTTGCGATGTTTAAGGCTTTATTAGTAGATTTATGGATTTTCCCCAAAAATTAGAAAAAATAATTTATTTTATGTGTTAAATGATTTCTTTAATGAATTTAGCAAACCAAATTATCTAAATAACAATTTGTCTAAAGTCATATTTAAAAATGGGTAATTTACATAAACAAAAATGATAAAAAAATAATTATATTAGTATTTAGTGACTACTAATTGAAAATTCTGAATTACATATTATATGTATCTTAAAAATTATAATGGACATTATATACTTTTAAACTAAAATTTCATATTTTTGTAGGTTATTAACTATAATTTAATCCGCAAAAAGTAAATAAAACATATTTATCAGTTGAAGTAATAAAATCTATTAAAAGGGCAGCCCAATGAACGAGGCTCCAGCCAATGTGGGGTCTGGGGAGGGAAAGATGTATACAACCTTACCCGTGCACATAAAAAAGTGTTTCTAAAATTTGAACCCTAAATCACCCAAGTCACAATGGAGCAACCCAACTGTTGCGCCAAGGCCCAAAGTTATTTATAAAGTTGTGTGAGGTTTATAAATCCAAAATTCCTAGTATTGTTAATTGTAATACATTTTTCATGCAAGCTATTAAAATATGTATTTATCATGTATTTATACCATATTTATGGTCAATTCAACCTTAGATCTAGTATTGCTAATGTATTTATATGATTTATGAAAACTTCCTTGATATATCCAAATGTGTTCATACTATTCATATCTTTCCACCATATCCATGTGTATTCAAAGCAAATCATGTTTTATATCCATTTCGAAGCTTACGGTATTTTGAACCTTGCCTCACCTATATTTAATGCATTTTTGTTTTTTTTTTTTGCCATTAACTCTATATGCCATATTTTAAGTGTATAAAAATCACTTAAAAAATTAACCTAGGAATAAAATCATTTTTTCTGTCCAAGTGGTAGGTCAATAGTTCAATTGACTAGGGCCCCGTCTGGCGTGTCTTCCCACACGATCTTTTGGCTGTTTACAAGTCGGGCAGACCGTGCAACAGTCTTTTTTCGTTTGGTTCGTAATAGATCTAGCCGCCAAAAGTCAATGCGTCGAAAAGATGTGAAAAGCCCATTTTTGGTTGATTTTGGGAAGCTTCAAATGGAGTTTTTCACATCTTTCTCGCTTTATTCTCATGTAGAAAGACATGGAAAGATGCACGAAAAGATATGTGATAGCCAAACTAGCTACGGGCTGCTAAGATTTTTATGCAAAAGCTCAATGCATCTTTTGACTATCGGAGGCTCAGAGCTATCAGAAGATCTTCCCAAAAAGACTTGCCAAACGGCCCCTAGGTAAAATGGGTCAACTAACTCAACACACAAGATGTCAGAGTTGAACAATAAAAAGTTAAAAGAAAACAAATAGGAATACAAAAATTATATAAACTCTGTGAAAAAAATTAGACAAATCAATCTATATATTAAATAAAAATAAGTGTAATAAATAAAAATTATTTTTATAAACTATGCACATGTAATACAAAATTTAAATAAGCATATGAAAGTTAACTTGACTCTATTGACCGGGTCAAATGGTTCAGCGATTCAACCAACTAGATAGGCGAGTCATTAACTACACTATCAAATTTTTGCAAACAAGCAACTTGGTGATGGAATGGACCAAAAACCTCGGTTTGTGACAAGTTTATACCTAATAAGCCAATTTGACCATGTGTTAAAAACCATTGATAACAAAAAGGAAATAGACGAAGGGAAATTAGTAATTACATTTTTGACAAACGAGAAGAAGAAAAACCACAAGCATCAAATAAACAGACAAATGCCAACTCTGAATCGTTGGAGGAAGGGCTCGAAACTTTTCTTTGATGACCCAAGTAAGTTTGCCAGTTCAGCTGCGCTATTTACTTCTCTGAATACGTATCTATATTTTATACTAAGATTGTTGAGGTCTTGTATGTCATGGCATCCTTTGATGAAATAAGCGATCCATGCTTCAGCTTCATTGATCGAACAATCACCCATATCTCTACAACTGGTCCAAATGGATTGACCCAAATCATCCCTCATAATGGTACCTATGGCACATTTTCCATTCATCCTGCGAGAGGCATCGAAGTTTATTTTGAATTCTCCATTCTTCGAATTTGGCAGGTCCAATTTTTAATTAAGAGAATGACGATTCAACCCAGGGTTAAAATTTTTAGGCCTAAAGTACAATTAGGATAATGCAGCTCTGAATTGATACCTATTCACGGGCAGGCATTGGTGTATAAAATGAGAGTTTTTGACATTTTAAATGTTTATAGCTCTGCAGTAAAAATCAGAAATCTACATTAGGCCTGTCTGTACTTCTCCGTTTTTTATTTCACCTTCCTTACTGTTTCTTTATTAAGATTCGAACTCTTAAGAAATTCATCAAATTCGGATCTAAGTCATCATTGTCATAAATTAAATAACAAAAAAATATATATAAATATAAAAGGGCAATTCCCAGTTTTTCTATCATGCCTTTTTGGTCTCATAGTAAGGCTAATAAAAAATGTGTAATGGGTGAGAAATAAGAATAATGATGAAAAATGGCTAAAAATGCCAAAAAAAAAAAACAGAAAAGGAAATTGATGTGAAATGATGGAATCAAATGGGTCAATGGTTCAGAAATCTCAATAGGTGCCATGTCAATTGGCTAATTGCCCCAACTCCCATTGAGAAGATTTATTTAAAAGTTTAAAACAATAGTAAGAAGATTTAAAGCTAAATCTTTTACGTTGAAGCAACAAATCCACTACCATACAACGCACGTATGCATTTACTGGTATGACCAAAAACCGAAACATATTTGTACAGTCCATGAGTGCAATACGCATCTCTGTCTTTGCCAATATTATATGTGCAAGTGCAACCGCCATGCAGATCACAAAATGGAAAACGGTGCCACGGGTGCAGTATCGTATATTGTTGATTCATGAGGCTTACCGTATACAAGAAGAAAGTAAACAGACGATGTTTCAGAAGACAAGTTTATTAGTAATAATCAGAACAAAATTCAACATGGATAGATGCCTTAAACTGCTACACTACCGAAGTTCAAGTTGAGAATGGCAAAACCATCATCCTCTCTACCATGTAACAGAACAGAAACCACCATCCTCTCTAAGGCATGGGTGGCCTAGGAACCTGTTGTCCCATGTTTGGAGGTGGGGGGACAGACCGAGCTCCTTGGCCTGGAAGCTGTTGACCCGGAAAACCTTGTGGAGGCATCATCAATGGCCGACCAAGCTGAGCACCTGGGGTGAAGTTCGCCATTGTTCCACTACCAACTGGAGGAGGTGGTGGGACTGGTAGAGTTCCGCCAGGAGGCATGGGCCGTGGGCCATTTGCCGTTGGTGGGGGTGGCGGTGGCGCAGATCCAGGAGGTGGTGGACCTCTTGGAGGATTAGCTATAGAAGCACCAGGAGGAAGTCCTTGTGGCGGTGGTGGTGGCGGAGCTTGGGGTGGTGGAGGCAAGGGCCTTGGTGGGGCACCAGGAGCTGCAGTGCCATTAGAAGCAGGTACAGGTGCAGCTTGAGGCTTATTCGCCTCTGGTGGCTTGACCTTGAAATACAATTGCAACTGCGAAAGTCCCCCATGTTAAAGGTCCACAGGTTGAATGAACATGAAGTTATAAAAAGCATAACACAACGACTAAGTAAACAAAGAAGCTAAGACTAACCGTGAACATTTTTGAATCTGGATCCCAATGTGAAAAGAACTTGGGTGTGGATTTGTCAATCTCCGTACTGGGAACCTAAACAATAAAGCCACAACCAGTGGAGGTTAGTTACAGTACTTGGAACCAAAATTAATTTATAAACATGCATTTTGGCATATGATCCCCATACCTTAAAAGCAATGATTTCATACGGTTCAGCTGCAAACAGGAGATACTGATATCTTTTATCACAAGATTGAACCCTCTGCAAACCAAAAAAAATGAAAATACAAAATAAAAGAAAACTCTTATTATTGTTTAGCCTTCATAGAGATGGTGCAATTGCTGGCTTAGCAAAGGCAATCTGTAAAGACCCACATGGATCAATCAGATGAGTTAAACAAACACTTTAAAATGCAGTGGAGTGAGGTGAGGTGCTACGATCTTCTGATGCTGAGGCATATAGCTTAAGCACCATCAGATCACATTATTTCACAAGTGTTTACAAGGGGTGGCAAAATGGATGGGTTGGGTGCGGATTGAATACCAACACACCCGTTTGCCACCCATACTAGTTGCATCATGTTAATGGGTTGCAACTTGCAACCCACCCTAACCTACGTTGCAACCCACCCTAACCTACCCATGCTGACCCATTTGAATATTTAAAATCATGTAAATCAATCTTTATTGAGGAAAAAACCTTTGGATTTCTCTTATCCACATGTGCTTACCTAATTGGTTCAACTCAAATAGAATAGTTGCACTTCATTTTAGAGAGAGAAAAGAGAAAATGGAGAGAAGCCACACAACCAAGAGGAGAGAGGATGTAAAGAAAAGTAGAGAGATGAGAGAAACAAAATAAGAGAGGAGAAAGAAACATGAAAATCAGATTTCATTAGGAAAAAAAATAGAGAGAGAAATGACATAAAAGAAATAAACCTCATAATAAAGAGAAGGGAGAGTCTAAAGGAGTAGAGAGAAGAGAAACATAAAAATTGAACTTCATTAGGAAAAATTTAGAGAAAGAAGTCACAGAACCAAGAGGTGGGAGAATTTAAAGAAAAGAGTGGAGAGAAACATAAAAAATATAATTTACTAGAAAAATGTTAGAGAGAGAAAGGACGTGTGTTAGTGGTGTTAGTGAAGGGGTATTTCAGTCTTTGTACTTGTTGAGAATGCTGATGTGTACTGTTATGTTAGTTCGAGTGCCTCTTACTTAAAGAAGGGCACTCAAGTCTTTTTCAATAAGTCAATAATATAATAATAGGTCTGGCCGAATCAAGGGATTAACTTTTTTCCCTAATTCGA